TATATATATGTATATATATATATGTGTGTGTGTTTAAATCTTAAAAAGATTTACATTGTTAAAATTATTAATTAATATTTTATACTCAATTTTATTTATTATATTTTAACATGCTTTATTTTACAATGAATGTATTATAAATAAAACTTATTTGATATGAACATGCTACTAATGTGGTACCATTGTATTTATATATAAAGACTATGTTTTTATCCTCTAGTACCATCATGTTACTTTTTTTTTCTTTGTAACAAACACATATGTTATTTATGATAGGTCATAGTTTGTATTAGGTATAGATTGAATTGCCATACTGTCATGGCTAGACACGAGGCAGTCAGCTCATAGTATTAGATGAGCTTCAGCAGATTTTGTCTGTTGAGATTATCAATGGGATTACAGGGTTTGAGAATATTGTTGATTAAAGGCATAATGTTTGGACAATCCCATCATCTGGAATAGGCTGTACTGATAATCAAGGATTTTAAAGCTAGCTATGCAATAGGTTATAGAGTAAAGGGATACAGTGATCTATCTATCTATCTATCTGTCTGTCTGTCTGTCTGTCTGTCTATCTTTCTATCTATGTCTGTCTGTCTAACAGCATTTTGAGCTGTTAGAGAAGAAAGATCCATTTGTCTCTGACATTCCATCATTTGTCTGCAGGTAAACCAGAGCTGAAGTGTGTGGAGGTTATTGTAGCAGATGTAGCCGAGCCGGAGTCGTTGGCCATCATGTGCAAACAAGGAATCATTGTGCTCAACTGCGTGGGACCAGTAAGTCCACAAAGACTATTGTAAAAAAGCACAGGAAGGGGTCAGTTTACACATCTGTGCATTCACACCTGTCCCGACGCATCCATAGGCCAATGATAGCTCTATGACAAAAAATGATAAATGGAGTTGTGTTATTCTGAGAGAACTGTTGACTGTGAAATGCCATGGTGCTGAGGTGTCTTCTCTCAACAGTACAGATTCTATGGAGAGCCTGTGGTGAAGGCCTGTATAGAGAATGGGGCCCACTGCATCGATATCTGTGGAGAACCACAGGTAGTTAATGTTATCCGTCTAACACTTTTTTTTAATAATCTACTTTTGAAAATGATACCATTGAAAAGTTTGGGGTCTGTAAGGTTAAAAGTGTGTTTGAAAGAAGTCTTGCATGCTCACCAATTCTGCATTTATTTGATCAGAAACAACAGTAATATTGTGAAATATTTCTGTTGAAACTGAAACTGTTTTCTATTTTAATGTTTTAAAATGTAATTTATTAATGTGATGGCAAAGCATAATTTTCAGCAATCATTACTACAGTCTTCAGTGTTACATGATCTTTTAAAAAATCATTCTAATATGCTGATTTGGTGCTTTAGAAATATTTCTTATTATTTTCAATGATGTGCTACATAATATTTTTAGGAAACCTTTATACATCTTTTCAGGATTCTTTAATGAATAGAATGTTCAAAAGAAAAGCATTTATTCGAAATAGAATTTTTTAATGTTAATTGAATGCATCCTTGCTGAATATAATGGCTAAAAACCTGACACCTGAAAAAACCTTCTATCTATCTATCTGTCTGTCTGTCTGTCTGTCTGTCTATCTTTCTATCTATGTCTGTCTGTCTAACAGCATTTTGAGCTGTTAGAGAAGAAAGATCCATTTGTCTCTGACATTCCATCATTTGTCTGCAGGTAAACCAGAGCTGAAGTGTGTGGAGGTTATTGTAGCAGATGTAGCCGAGCCGGAGTCGTTGGCCATCATGTGCAAACAAGGAATCATTGTGCTCAACTGCGTGGGACCAGTAAGTCCACAAAGACTATTGTAAAAAAGCACAGGAAGGGGTCAGTTTACACATCTGTGCATTCACACCTGTCCCAGTGCACCCATAGGCCAACGATAGCTCTATGACAAAAAATGATAAATGGAGTTGTGTTATTCTGAGAGAACTGTTGACTGTGAAATGCCGTGGTGCTGAGGTGTCTTCTCTCAACAGTACAGATTCTATGGAGAGCCTGTGGTGAAGGCCTGTATAGAGAATGGGGCCCACTGCATCGATATCTGTGGAGAACCACAGGTAGTTAATGTTATCCGTCTAACACTTTTTTTTAATAATCTACTTTTGAAAATGATACCATTGAAAAGTTTGGGGTCTGTAAGGTTAAAAGTGTGTTTGAAAGAAGTCTTGCATGCTCACCAATTCTGCATTTATTTGATCAGAAACAACAGTAATATTGTGAAATATTTCTGTTGAAACTGAAACTGTTTTCTATTTTAATGTTTTAAAATGTAATTTATTAATGTGATGGCAAAGCATAATTTTCAGCAATCATTACTACAGTCTTCAGTGTTACATGATCTTTTAAAAAATCATTCTAATATGCTGATTTGGTGCTTTAGAAATATTTCTTATTATTTTCAATGATGTGCTACATAATATTTTTAGGAAACCTTTATACATCTTTTCAGGATTCTTTAATGAATAGAATGTTCAAAAGAAAAGCATTTATTCGAAATAGAATTTTT